GCTTCTTTGAAAAGGTCACTAAAATTGACAAACTACTAGTAAAACTGATAAAGGAAAAGACACAAATAATCCAAATAAAAGATGAAGTCGGCAGTGTCACAACAGAATCAACTAAAATAGAAAGGAATACTATGGAATACAATGAAAAACTATACTCAAACAAATATGAATACCTAGAGAAAATGGACAAATACTTAGAAATTCATAACCTACCTAAACTGACACAAACTGAAATAGAACACTTGAACAGATCAACTACAAAAGAAGAAATCAAAAAGGTAATAAAACAACTTCCAGCCAAAAAGAGCTGTGGACCAGATGGTGTTACAAGTGAATTTTATCAAACATACAGAGAAGAACTGTCATCAATTCTACATAAAGTATTTCAGAAAATAGAAAAAGATGGAATTCTCCGACTCATTCTATGAAGCAAACATATCCTTGATACCAAAGCCAGGTAAAGATACCACCAAAAAAGAAAACTATAGGCCAATTTCTCTCAAGTACATATATGGAAAATTCCTGAATAAAATCTTGCAAAATAGAATCCAATGATACATCAAAAAAGTAATTCACCATGACCATGTAGTATTTATAACAGGTATGCAAGTATGGTTCAATATAAGAAAAAAAAAAAATCAGTGTAATTCATCACATTACAAAGCAAAGAACAAGAACCACATGACCGTATCAATTGATACAGAAAAGGCCTTTGACAAAATCTAATATACTTTCCTGATAAAAACGCTCAACAACATAGGAATAGAGGAAAATTTCCTCAACATAATAAAAAGTATATACGCAAATCCAAGAACTGCTCTCAATGGAGAGTGAATAAAGGCATTCCCTTTGAGAAAAGGAAAAAGGCAAGGATGTCCACCATCACCGCTACCATTCAATATTGTATTGGAAGTCTTAGTGATAGCAACAAGATAGGGGAAAGAAATAAGAGGTATCCAAATTGGCAAAGAGGAGGTAAAATTATCTATCTCTATATGTAGATGATGCGATAGTATACTTAGAAAACCCTAAAGACTCAGCAAGAAAACTACTGGACATAGTTGACCAATTCAACAAAGTGGCAGGATACAAGACCAACATACAAAAATCAGTTGCATTTCTCCACAGTGACAAAGAGAATACAGAACTGGAGCTAAGAAAAATAATACCCATATTGTGAATAGCTAATCAGAAGATTAAATACTTGGGAGTAAATCTTACTAGAAATTCAAAGGAAATTGCAAAACATTACTACAAGAAACAAAAAAACCCCTGGATAAATGGAAGAATATACCTTGCTCTTGGATAGGAAGACTCAATACTGTGAAAATGAAAATCCTACAATAGGCAATCTGCATGTTCAATGCAATTTCAATACAAATATCATTTCCTTCCTTCAGTGAGATGGAAAGGCAAATTCAAATTTCATCTGGAATGGAAAGAAACTCCAAATAAGTAAAGCACTCCTTAAAAAGAGAAACAAGGTAGGAAGCATCTCACTCCCTGATTTCAAATCCTGCTACACTGCCGTAATGCTTGAGAAAGCATGGTACTGGTACAATATCAGACATACAGATCAAAGGAATAGAACTGAGGACCCAAAAATCAGCCCCTCAACCTATGGTCAAATGTCTTTTGACAAGGAGATGAAATCAGTTAAGTAGGGAAATGACAGCCTTTTTTAACAAATGGTGTTGGCAAAACTAGAAAACTATTTGTAGAAACTCAAGGAAGTCCCACACCTCACACCATACACAAAAACCAACTCAAAGTGGATCAAGGACCTAGAACTACAACCAAGGACTATAAACTTCATCAGAGAAAAGCTTGGAAGAACTCCAGGAGCCCTAATACACAACATGAACACTTCTAAGCATCCTGAAAAACGTACAACCAGGAGAGAATAAAATAAATGAATGGGACCTTCTAAGAATCAAAAACCTATGCACATTCCAAAACCTTCTCCAATAGAGTAAAACGGGAAGCCACAGATTGAGAAGGACTATTTGGTAATGACATGTATGATAAGGGACTTATATCTAGAATTTATAGAATACTCGAGCACCACAAGATACAAGCAAACAACCCACTTGCAAAAATGGGCACAAGATATAAAAAGACACTTCACCAAGACAACATTCAGATGGCGAATTAACACATGAAGAAGTGTTCAAAATCCCTCGCTCTAAAAGAGACAGATGTAAATCAAAACAACTATGAGATATCTCACTACACTAACAATAGCAAAATTCAACAGAGAAGCAAACTACAAATGATGGCGAGGTTGTAGAGAAACTGGAACCCTTATTCACTGTGTGTGAGAGTGTAAAATGGTGCAAACACTATGGAAGGCAGTATGGAGCTTTCTCAAAAAGTTGGAAATAGAAATACTATTTGACCCAGCAATTCTACTACTGGGAATATACTCTAAGGAAACCAGAACTGTCACCCAAACAGATATATGCATACCCATGTTTATTGCTGTGTTGTTCACAATAGCAAAGAGATGCAAACAACTCAAGTGCCCATCAACAAACAAATGAATAGAGAAGCTGTGGTATATTCACACAATGGAATACTATGCAGCACTGAAAAACAAGGAACTAATAAAATACTATACAAAATGGGTGACCCTGGAGGACATTATGCTGAGTGAAATATATCAGTCACAAAAGGAGAAAAACTGCATAATGTCACTATTATAAAACAGGAGTGACATGGGGGTTGGGGAAAACTAAGCAAAGAAGGGAAAAATAATGTACCCTGCATGAAACAGATGTGTGAAAGAATTGCTTAAAAGGAATATATGATTAGGTATGATTTGCATGACAACAGTCCAGAATAAGAGCTGCTTAGTAAAGTGGACTGGGGGAGGAGGGGGGAGATAGAAATTGTACAACAATGAACTAATTTTTTTCCCCCCAAAGAGAAAAGTGAACTGGGTGGGTGGTGGGCAGGGAGGAAAATGTGCAACAATGAATGAATGGAAATCCAAGTTGCCTATAATCTTTAATTAAAATCTCAATTAAAAAAAATAAAAAGATCATTGTCACTAGAATGGCAAACAGGTAAAAGAGAGAACAGGAAAAGACTGGATAGACAATGAACATATGGACAGACTAAGGATCATAGAATTGATGCCTTTGATCTGTAGTGTAGGAGAAGAGTGCTGAAGATACCATGGATTGCCAAAAGAACAAATAGGCATGTCTTGGAGAAGGTGCAGCCAGGGTGTTCTTTGAAGGCAAAGTATGTCTCACATATTTTGGGAAAGTTGCAAGAAGTTATTCCTTGGAGATGGACATCATGCTTACAAAGGAGAGGTGATAAGAGAGAGGAAGATCCTCAACTAGACTGACACAGTGACTGCGAAAATTAGCTTAAGTGTGTCAGAGACTGTGAGGATGGCATGAGATTTGACAGTGCTTAGATCAGTTGTTCACAGGGCCGCTCTGAGTCATATTTGATTCCACAACACCTAACAACACCACCCCCCACTGGAGTAGGTGAAGAAAAGGACTCTCTGAAGGTAATGGATGATTAGACATTATATGTATGATGATTAACAATCTAGAACAAGATAAACATTATAATGTGAATGAGAGGGCAAGTGAGTTAAAATGTTTATCAATGAATGAAAAACCCATCCTTTTGATAAATTTTCACTAAATTCTCAATAAAGGAACGTAAGTGCTGCACTTTCTCTAAGAAAAACAAAACACAAAATCAACCTACCTTATCTTTATCTAGTATTCCTGATCTGATTGATGCCAACATATGATAGATGGACCAAGTAAACCTGGAGATGATTTTGACACTTCTCTTTTGAAACAACCTCATGTCCAGTTTACCCATACATTCAGTTTTTTTAGTATTATCCATTTAACCTTCTAAATAGGTCTGAAACTTACACTCCTTCTTTTCCACCTTCATGACAGCAGTGCAAACAATTGTTCATTTCCATATAGTTGTTGTTACGCACCATGGAGTTAGAACCAACTCATCGCTTACTAGGGAGCAGGTTTTCAAAAGTAGAAAATCACACAGGCACAGAATGCCCATCCTTCTCCAGCAGAGCAGCAAGGGGAATCAAACTGCTAGCCTTAGAGTTGGTAGCATATTCTTTACCACTAGGCTAATACTATTATAATTACATCTTTAATGGTTTATATGCATCCATTCTGATACCCGTAAAATATTTTCTGAAACAGTAGGCATTGTGACCTTTTGAAAATGTAAATCTTGTATTATCATTACCTGGTTGCTCACCAAAATACTACAATAACCTTCTACTACTCTTAAGGGTGGGGGAGGAATTATTGATGGACCTTAAATAATCTGGTAGATGATATGGCTCTGTTTTGCCTGGTCTCATCTCACAAAGTGATCCAGTGCCTTTCTGGAGCCTACCTATAATGTGCTTCTGTCAGGCTCTCATACACACCGTGTTTCTTCTTGTCAGAAGGTCTCCTCTGCTCACACCTTCACTATCCACTGATTTTAAATGTACCTAACTCCCACTCATTCGTTAGGAATCTGCTCAAGCTTTATTCTACATGTAGGCATTCCCTCACTAAGACGAACATCCTTATAAGGCTCTTGGACATAGTATTTGTCACAGTTTCTTTTCACCTTTGGTATCCCATTATTTTATTATCATCTGTTTGTTTCTCACACTTGATTCTAACTTCAAAGACAGCTATGATGTCAAGTTTAACTCAACACTTTAGCTTTAGTGTCCAACATAACTATTAAAAACTATAGATTCCCAATACAAACTTTGTAATTAATTATTAATAAAGTATCTAACTCAAATTAATAAGCTATCATTACTTCAAAGCAAAGTTAATTTGCTATCCCTAAAATATTGGTGAACCAGACTGCATAAAAAAGAGAAAACACCAAGAAATATAAACAGTATCTTCTAATTTCAAGACTCTCCTAAAATAGGCTAAAAAAAAAAAAAAGGAAATCAATTTACATATGAATTGTATGCTTACCCACTGTCACTGAACAGGAACTCCAAATGAGTCATAAAAACTTCCCAGTGGGGCACACAGTAACGCTGTGCCAGAGAAAGAGCAATGCTGTAAACGTTTTCTTCCAGTGTTCTTGAAGAATATCCATCAGCAACAAGGAAGGGAAAGAGAAAAACAAGCACACATTACCTTAATCAGCAAAGAAAATGTTCATTAGGATTATTTTCTAGCTGAGAAAGGTACAGTCAGTACTCCAAAAAGACATTTCACTGTAATTCAAGAAAAACAATTCCAAAGGATTTTAAACTCTTGTTACTGTACAGCACTTCAGATTACTAAAGCATTGCCTAGACCAGACGTTCTCAACTCAGGGTGACTTTGCATCCCATACCCTCAGGATCTTTGTCAGTGCATGGACACATTTCTGATTTTCATATGTGGAGGAAGGAAAGGAATAGAATGTCATTGGCATCTAGTAAGTAGAAACCTGGGTTGCTACTAAACAGTCTAAATTTCATTTATGGAAGTTTCCTCTAGCAAAAACAATATAGTCCAAAATGTAGCTATTCTTTATTTCCTTACTTATATTCATATTCATAGCAGTTGTTTTCTGAAAGTATACAGTATCTGTCCTTCATTATCTGTACAAGCAGGATAACACATTTTTTCAGGGGTCAGGCAGAGAAGTTATAAAAGAATCATCATTTGGTTCCTTCCCACCTTTCTTTATATTTAATAGTTACTGAGCATATATTTGGTGCCAGGCAATATGTTAAACTCCCACAGTAGAAATAATAAATTATTAATGGTCCTTGTGCTTAAGGATCCTCATTTCATCACTGCATAAGTGAAGGCAGAGCTGCAAAATGGGAGGAAGCAAGTCCTTCAAGGATCCTTGCATACAAGATACTGGATTTATATTTCTAAATCACAACTGCTAACGCATTACACTATGGAAAATTTGAAGCACTTTACATAAGCCATCCAATGATTGCTGTGTATTTTCTAAGTAACAGATTTTGCAGAAAACTTATTATAGATTTATCAAAAGCATGTATTCGTCCTTTAGGACATACTTCAAATAGCATATGAGAGCTGGATACTTAGACAATGAAAACAAAAAAGCCCAAGAAAATATAATTGATGTTATAAGGCATGATGTATCTTACAAACTTTTGTTCTGCATTACCACCTTCTTATAAGAAATCATGAACATTAGACTAAGAATTACAAAATGCTTAAAGAAAAGCCAAGTGCAGTTTCAAAGCACCTAGGTTCAACTCCTGACTGTGTAACTATAAGTAACTCTCTAAAGTCCTCTCGATTCCCAGATTCCTCTTCCCAACAATGAGGAGGATGGACTAATTGATCTCAATAAAGTCTGTTAAATATGATATTAAAAGGCTCTATGAAGTTATGTCCCTTCAGGAAGAAATGAAATATATATATACATATACATACATACATACATACATACATACATATATGCATATATGTATATATATGTATGTGTGTGTGCATATATATATATTACTCTTTAGACCAGCTAAAAGTTCCTACAATCTTTCTATGATCTTTGCACTTAATATATTTTTTATTCTAGAGAAAACTTAGAGTATCTTCTAATTGAAGGGAAAAAAATTAAAACCTCATTCTCATTGAGATGCTCATGGCTGACTCTCCAGTAGGTTTTTAGGAGCCTGTAAATAGCACCAAAGGAGATTGTCCATCTTTTGCTGATGGATTTGAACTGCCAGAAGGGTTACATCTAAGTTAATATTACTATTCCCTACAGCCTTTTAACACTAGAGGCCCCTTGTAGAAAAGAAGTCTAAATTAAATTAAAATTAGAAAGCCCCAAGGCTATTTATTCCATGGATTTAAATAATTTAAAAAAAAAAACAAAAACAAAACATATGACAGTACTGCATCAGAATTATTTTTGAGATTTTAAAGAAACATATTGGAAAGAAGAATGAAGGCACAATTTAATCCCAGCTTCAAAAGCTAGAAGCTTAGACTAACCTGAACGCCAATGCTTCCTTGAGAGTGCAAGAAAGCCATGCATGGAGCAAGGACATACAGCTTTGCTGTGAGATGCAGCTAAGTAGAACTCATAGTATGTTCTCAGCACCTAAATAAGCTTAAGTTAGCTATTTGATATTCTGAAGTCTAATTTTTCTTAGCTATACAACAGGGGTAATAATATATATATTTAAAGGTGAAAGCTCCAGACAGTGGTGAGATGGGTCAGTTCCCATCAAGTAAAGAGGAAAAGACCAATAAAAACATTTACTAATTAACATTTTGAAGTATCTAACACTATTCCTCACTCATGATAAGCACTCAACACACTGTAATGTTAAAAATAGAATAACTTTATGTAATAGCTAATGTAGGTAATCATATTTTTCTATCTGACATGTAAGTAATCTAAGTAGTATGCTACTGAAACAGAAAATGGTCACCAGCATTAACACCAAAGGAGATTCGAAACTCAGTAACACTTATCTCTAGCCTCAAATGGTATGGTCATCTCACAGAAAGAGGAAGAGAGGAATATGGCTGCTGTTGAGCCTCTTATGAAAGAGACTGCTGTATCTTTTTCTGTAACCCCAAAATAGAGATATTCCTGAGGCCACAACAGTGGATCTCTGCTCTAGTATTAAGAAGACTGTATCTAACTTTTTTTTAAATCTTTTTTTAAAATTGAGATTTTAATGAAAGTTTATAAAGAACTTGGGTTTCCATATACCTAACTTTTAATATTCTTAAGAAATTAAACTGCCATATACTCAGAAATGTGACATTTACAATCTAGAATAAAAGACAGTACTATATTAAATTTCCACAATAAACTGAATTATTATCACCTGCAGTTATAATCTATCACCCCAAATACGATCACTTTGGTATTGGGCTATCAAAATGATTTCTTACAACTAATTCCCATCCTTTATATTCAAATCTGCAGGCTTAAAATGTTAACACTCTCTATTGATGTGGAAAAGTCCAAGCTTATAGCTACCATGAACATAAATCCTTAAAGGACTCATTCTGAAAATTAAACTTGTTCTTCTACACTTAAACCCAGCCCTTCACATGATAAAGGAATCTCTTACTCTGCCAGACCAAGGATAGTTTCCCTTTTATACTGGTCGTCTGCAGTAAAACGCTGCACGTCTACCCCTTTCCGAAGGCCCTGAAGGATCTGAGCCTGAGTGAAATCCAGAAGGCGCTCATTGTAATAGTGTAACTGCTTAGTCAGTGAAACGAGGTCCTCAGGCCAGGCTTCGTGTCCATAGAGAGTAACATGCTTGGTGACCATCTTGATTAGCTCTTTGGGATCCGCCTATGAAAAGTATGAAAAAAAAAGTATTTTTACAAACATTTTTATGTACAGGCTTGTGAAAAAGAGAAGAATATGTTTACTGGGCCTATTTGGCCATTTATATTGTTGCCATTTAATCAAAGTTCACGCCTGCCCTGAGAAGTTCACTTTAGAGGTGGGGCTTACCACAGTTTTGCAGACAACAAAGATTAGATGCAGAACCAAAACCAGAAGCGGATCTCTTGAATTTCTTCTCTGTCATCCTACCTTAAAACATCCATCAACTTACACAGTAACATATTCTTGCTTTATAAACTATATCAACCTATGGCAGATTTGTTCCCAACCATCTGCTCATTTATAACAATTCACCCTGGAACTAATTTTCATCATCATTGCTTCTGAATAATTTTTCTTTTGACCACCATAAGTGTTTTCAAGAAGAGAGATGCAGTTCAATAGCCACATTATAAATGCCTAGACAGCTGAGGAGAAGAGTACTTCCTCCAGGGATAAGTTGTGGGGAGGGAAACTCACTCATGTTCCTGAAATCATAAATACTCCCAGTTGCATAAAAAGCAAGCATCTAGCTGACTTTTACTCTGCTCAATTTAGGGCTCAATGGGATGTTGTACTGTAATTTTTAGTGGCTTCTCCAACAATAAAATTATTCAAATAGAACAGAACCGAGAATTCAATAGCTGACAGAAAGGAGAATAAGTGATTAACTGGCTACAATTATTTATAATAAACTTGGTCTGGATGTCAACAAAGCAATACCAGTTCAGCTATGATTATGGAATTACTTAATATGGAGCCTAACACTTGAACAGCATTAATTCAATCAGTCACAATTTCTGGAAAGCCACGGCACATATTTTAACATAAGCAAATTAAGGAGAGAAAAAAACCCAACCCTCCAGAATCTACCTTTGGTTCTCAGAAAGTTACTCCTAATTATAGCAAGCTGTCAGCATTTCAAAGTGTATGCCATTATTCTGAGCTGCACAGGAGATTTGTCAATGTCAAGTCTATATTACCAAACTTAGTGTGACATTCTCTCTCTTGATCCTATTAAGGAACAATCTGGGAGTACTGATAAAAAACAATTAAAGAAATCTTCCTGGATCCCAGCAAGTAAGTTTGAGAAAAAGTCAACACTGCTATACTTTCCCCCTTCTGATGTGTGTATAATGAGTCTAATGTTAAAAAAAACCAAAGACAGATGATTTAAGTCAAAAGATGTGGATTTGAATATTAAGTCTTCCACAAATAAGCTAAAAATATTTATCTTTCACACATTTAATACATTTTATGTACTGATTATGTTTCAAAAGGAGTCCAGGCACATAATATATCAGCTTGCTAGCCAAAGGTTTACAGTTTAAATTTACCAGTTGCTCCAAGGGGAAAGGATGGACAGTCTTTTCTTGTAAATATTTATAGCCTTGGAAACCCAATGGAGGTTCACCAGGAGTTAGGACTCGATTCTGATATGGGGGGTGGCTTTCTGTTTGGTTTTTAAATTATGTACAAAAAGGAGTCCTGTTGGTATAGCAGTGATTAAGAACTTGGCAGCCAACCACAATTTAGGTGCCTTATCACTAGCTGATCTTCATATGGAAGATGCCAGATGCTTCTGTAACGACTGCTACTTGGGAACTATGTGAGGAAATTCTACTCTGTCATACAGGATCACCACGAGTTGGAATCAACAACAGTAGTTTGTTTTTGTTGTTGTTATTACTATGAACAAGAAATACACTAAGAACACATGTTTCTCTTTGTTTCAGAAACTCAAGTCTACTAAAGATGATAAAATAATAGTAAAAGTGTCATTCAAAAAAATAATAATGAAAAGTATGTGATATATGTGTCTGTCAGATACTCCTCTAAATCTGAACATTCAGATTAAGACAGACTAGGAAGAAGGATTAGCCACCCACTTCTGAAATAGCAGGCCTCTGAAAACCCTATGCACAACAGAACACACGCAGATTAACAAAAAGGGCAACCTAGGTAGAACCATCAAGT